TTTATATGTGGTTTACGGGTATAAACTATTATAAACTTGCCGTTGAGAAAGATCTCACGATCTCTATTTTTCACGATCATATGGAAACCAGGATTTTGCATGAATTTTTGAGCTACCCTGTCCAGGATAAACGAGAACATGACTCATGAGGCTGAAATCCTGAATATTATTCCGCACACAGCAAGAACTCTCATTCCTTCTCTTGCATGTTTATAATGACAAAATTGTATCGGATGTAAATGATACAAGAACTGAACATTTCCTGGCCATTACTCATTAGTCGCCATTTGACTACCCGTTTATATATGGTATTTATATACAACATCCTGGCTTCCTCTCCGCCTCAGCAAAGCGGACTCAAGTATTAAAACTTGCTTGCTTAATTCGTTCCTCTCAACTTTGTTTACATGCGGTGCTAGTAGCGATGACGTTTGCTTAACAACTCTCACCTTTCATCACAAACTTCACTTTTTCTCTCCCTAAAATTCTCCAAATGACTAAAGTTCCACCATTGATTAGCGAATACGTAGCCGTAGGCCTTTTGCAATTACATCAAATCTATTTCGCTTTAGTCTATAATTAATTGGCGAAGTGTTAAACATTTTTTTTCAAGTCCTCGAATATATTTTCTGGATCATTGAACACAGGCTTTCATAAGAGTAAACAATATTAAAGATTTATTAAGATTACCTTTAAGGAATAACGAGCGGCCATCGGGTAATAAAAACAAGATTAAGGAGATCAAACACACTGCATAACTGCTTTCCCTAGCAACTACAGTGTATTTTCAATAGCAGCAAGTATTCGAACTGTCCGAAATATTTCAAAGAAGATTAAAAAGGTACACACATTTGATTGTTATTTTTTTAAGTATGCAAAATAGCTGATATTTTTCTACTGCAGAATATTAATAGGCTCTTAATTGCAGTTAAATGTAAATATTTTTGTGCATCTACGCGGTCGATATAACGAATTGTGGAAGGGTTTGTAGATGGGAATGGACATTTGCATTTATAGACTAAATTTTGATCTCAACAAGTCTAGTCTCTAGATAAAAATTTCATCACAGCTTGAAAGAGCATCACAAAATTAGTAATATTCCAAAGTTTCGTTGCGAAATGTTGTAAAATGCGGATCATATAGCCTTGCGAAGTTTGCCGTTTTTCAGTCATTTTGTGTTACAAATGGGAAACCCTTTGGGCTGTCAATTTCCAGGGCGTAATACAAAATGACTGAAAAACGGCAAACTTCGCAAGGCTATGCTATATTATCCGCATTTTACAACATTTCGCAACGAAACTTTGGAACATTACTAATTTTGTGATGCTCTTTCAAGCTGTGATGAAATTTTTATCTAGACTTGTTGAGATCAAAATTTAGTCTATAATGCAAATGGTCCATTCCGAGTGTGAATTTTATACATTTACAACAGTTGTGAAAAATACAACTACAGGGTGTCTCAAAAAACCCGAAAACTATTGAAATCACTATTGTTAAAATTTGAATGCCCTACCAAACAGCTGAACGTAATGATGCGTAAAATATTGACAAGGTGCATGCAGTGTATTAAAATTTAGTTAAGAACATCTCTTTGTAAAGTGCACGATTTTCTGCTCTTGGGAATTTAACTGAGCAGCTTCTTAAATAGTTTCTTTATGCATAAAATTTACTTATGTCAATCATTTATGCACTCGTGTGAACCAACAGAGTGCTGAGGCATTCAAATTCTAACAATTAAATTGTTATTGGTGATTTCAATAGTTTTCGTTTTTTGGGGACACCCTACAGTATATGCCCTCTGGCAGGAATCGAGCCTGCGGCCCTGGGATTCCGGTACAGCGCTCTAACCGAGCTTTAGTATAAATTTCCAGGTGACTATTGATTTTTCTGCATTCTGATTGGTCAAGATTCACTGTCTCTGAAGTGATAGTCACTGGTCAGTGACTATAGCTTTTTTTCAAAATGGCCGCTCGTTTTGCCGTAGTCACAGAGGAGAAAATTGCCAAAATTAAAGAAGATAGCATTCCGAAAAAACCCAAACAAGCTACAAAATATGGTTTAAAAATATTTCAAGGTAAAATATTAAACTTTACGTGCTTTTATTTGGAAAAAAACTGGCTTAGTCGCAACGCGACACAGAGCCGTGTCTGAGATTTAAATTTTGTAAACAAACTATTTATAGCGAAAATAAATTTATTTGAAGTGAATTTTTATAAAGTTGTGTGGATTATTGTTTGTAAACACCTGGAAATTTATACTAAAACAATTAGTCGCCTCAGGCTCGGTGATTACAAGCCTATATTCACTTCGCCTTCGGCTCAGTGAATATAGGCTTGTAATCACCTCGCCTTCGGCGACTAATTGTTAAATAGAGGCCAGCCGTCGAGCTCTAACTGCAAGTTCATGTATATATATTTTCTAATATTCTATTATATAGCCATTCCTAATAACTTTAAAATGTTAAATTATAACTCGTACTCAGGCCACAAAATTCGGACACCCCGTCAAACACCTCTGGCGGAACCGAAACATGCATACTAATTAAGGCCCAATTACTAAACATAGCCTGAACCGCCCGAGGGCAAATCAGGTGTGTTTAATTAAAAGTAAGATACGAGCATCCTAGATTGAGGAACAAGTACAAATACTTCAATTTACTTTTATTACCTAAAACTCGTCTTTAAAACTATATACAATATTCAATTTAGCGTCATATTATACGAGTTTGGCAAAATTTGCCTATATTTATAATATACAACTGTATTTTTGTTATCAATAAGTTCTAACGAAATAAGCGATACAATTTTGCCCGAGACATTCTCATTAAAAATAAACTTCAATGGGTTTCGGCCACTTTCCATTTACGTGAACATGACAGGTCAGTCGAATTGACGAAATTGTTAAATTGACAAAATGCTTGGGGATGGGATTGCTCTGGCCTGAAAAGATCAGGAGGCTCATTTTGGCTAGATTTCTGACACTGTGTCTATGGCGTCCATTGTCTTTTGCTGATCTATCACCAATGCTTGCCATTTAAATACTATTGTGAAATCGTTCATCTGTTCCTAAATTTTGCTATACTACACAGCGAAAACACTGGAGGGTATAAAGTAAAACTATACAACTATTCGTTTTGTCATCTTATATACCAAAGGTAGCTTTTTCTGGATATGACAACTTCAATTCAAAGCGAGGGTTACTGAGCCAGCCAGTATAGATAGTACCTGACCAAGAATTTGATTATCTGTTAATGTTGTTTTTAACGGCTTGGCCGTTCACGTAACCTTCCTCTTTCTATACAAAGATGAAAAATTACAGTCATTTGGCGCCAAGTGGAAGAAAATGACAAATTTGGAAGGAAGCAAAATATATTAGATTAGTTGAGCAACAACCTGGGGACAAAAATGTCCTGCAGACCAACGGAGTATCTTTGTGCTAAATCTGCATGTGCATAAACATATAGTGTTCTAGCTGGGCATGGTTTTAAATTCAAGGAATACTGTCTGTCAACCATATGTTGTTGCGCCCATAGAGGGACATGGGTATTAAGGTTTCCTTCAAATTTTCAATAGCAAATCTTCATTCAAACGAATTTCCTGCAGCTGTTTAACATTTCTGCGCACAGTGCTTGCGTGAAAATTTTTTTTATCAAAGTCGTTTTCCATATGGTCGCAACGGTCGTAAAGATTGAGCCACGATCTTTCTCATCAGCCGAAATACAACATTTTAACACTGATGATAGGCAGAGCGATTATTATATAGAGAATAATACATGCGTGCGCGGAAATACCAGATTTATTTCGAGTTCAACACGATAAATAAATCTGGTATTTCCAAGCACCCATGTATTTTTCTGTTTATTATATAAAGAACAGTCTTTGAAAAGCGATAATTTTTACAGAAAAGCGATAATTGAAAAGCAATAATTGAAAAGCGATAATTTTCACATGTGAGATTATCATGAATAATCTCACATGTGAGATTATCACTTTTACCAGTGCTCGAAATCTCTTTCAAAAACTCATTAATAATTCATGAAGCAATTATCCAATCTTGAGTAAGAAATTAGTCACGTGCATACGTCTTTATACCAGCTAAAGAACACTTTAACAAAAGACCATTGTTATGCAAACTATATAAAGATTCTTATATAAAGATTTTTATATAAAGATTTGACTTATTATGCAAATGTTTTTGAAGTCATTTAAAAAACTCACAGGTCGTGTTTTATTAGGTCTAAAGCCACTCGTGCTGCGCGCTCGTGACTTTTAATAAACCTAATAAAACACTCCTGCTCGTTTTTCAAATAGTACATAAAGCACTATACTTTATATAATAAAAATAGAGAATATTTATGATTTATATGTGGTTTACAGATAGAAACTACTATAAACTGGCCGTTGAGAAAGATCGTGACTCTATTTTTACCACTATTACAACAATATGGAACCCAGGCTTTACACTGTCATCTACAAATAATTTTGGACAAATTAACCATGATAGCAAAAGACTTGCAAAATGTAAACAATTCAGAATTTTGGATTGGAAATTAAGTATACCACGCATACCTTACAGCAACATTTGAATTTCGTCACTATCCACAATATTACAGCAATAATCACGGCCAAAGTAAATATAGCAAATATCACGCACAACGCCAGGAGAACTTTTTTGTCGACAATTTCTTGCACGTTGGTGGTTGCGGGAACAACTCTGAAATGACAAAATGAAGAAATGAGATGTGTTCGGCTTACGAATATCAACATATAGATTGGTTATTCTGGATGGACAAAACTTACTGTGGCTGATGTTCAGAGGGCGTGCTAAGTCCACCGCCAGACCATACTATATGCCTGAAAAGAAAATGATTCCAGTGTAATTGCAGAAGGAAAACTAAACTAAACTAAACTAACCTAATTTATACTGGATAGCTCTATCAGTTTTAAACTGTTCTTCCTAGAGATCCAGTGAAGATCATCTCTTATTGACCCAGTGCCACTACAGGAGGAAACATAAACTAAACTAACTTTATTTATACTGGATAACTCTATCAGTTCTGAACTGTTCTTCCTAGAGGTCCAGTAAGAATAATCTCTTATTAATCTAGTGTTACTACAGGAGGAAACCTAAACTAAACTAACTTTATACTGGATACAGCAGCTCTATCAGTTCTAATCTAAGTAAACAGTTTAGGTCACTCACCCTGTCAATTGCAGTCCATCTTCAGGTGTATATGACCCAACCTTGACCCAACTTTCACCCTGAAGAATAACAATATTTCAGATTACTCTGGGCTCTATACAATCAGTAGAACTGCAGTCGGCGGGTTTCACGAAGTACGGCACTATGGTAAAAAGTGAGTTCTTTTCACTTTATGTTGTAGTCTTGTATTTCGAGGCAAATAAATAGAATTTACATTTTACACGTGTAGTTTAATTTGCTTGCTCTTATAAAGCTGGAGCTCGAGTAATACGAGCAACAAAATTGCTGCAACTTGCAACAAAATCTGATTTCAACGCATGTTAAGAAGAAATGTCGACACATGTTGCCACGTGATTTGTAATTTATGTGTAAACATTTTCAATTAACATGCGTAGAA